CCTGTGCGCCTCAAATAGCCGCTGGCCAGAAAAACTAGTCTCCAGGAGGACGCACCACCCCCGCCCAAGGCCATCAGGGGCCATGGAGAGTGTGGCCAAGGGCAGAGCTGGGGTGGCGCCTGCTCCGGGGCTTCCTTAGAGTGTGTGAACCCCACAAGTCCCGCCTCCCTAGCCCGTCGTTGGGCGAAGTGAGAATAATTCCTCCCAGTGTGGTGGGGATCACGTTAGAAGTCGATGCTCGCTTCCTTCTTAGCAGGGCCGCTGAGCTGTGGAAGGAAGGCAGCTGGGAATTCATTCATTTTCTCATTCATTCTGCAAACATAACTGCCTCTTCCACCGGCCGAGCGCTGTGGCCGAGCAGCCAGAACCCTCAGCTCCTCTGCCCAGGGGCCCCTGCTCAGGAGAAAGGAGCCCACTGGACAGTACTGACCACCTCTTCTAACCTTGGCACATCACACGGATGCCTGAAGCCACATCCTCAAGGTCCAGCCCCAGAGTTGGGGAGGCGTGGGGGTGAGATCAGTGCTTCTGCCATCACTCCTGCGCTCCCCCCAGCCCTTGTTCTACCTACACAGGAGGTCATTTCACCCTACCAAGGCACAGATGGCAGAGACCGCGGGTGGGGACAGAGGTCTGGAACTGTGCGGTGACCCGAGCAGAATGTGGGGCGGGACTGCTGTCCTCTCCTGTCTGGAGAGCACAGGCCTGGGCTTTTCTGGCCTCCCTCAACCCTGAGACGTCCGTGGGAATGAAAGTGGTCTGCTCCCGGTAGCCCAGGGGAGACATTAGGGTTGTTCCCACCCACCCTGACCCTCAAAACCAGGTGATGACTGTACCCAGAGGAGCTGCCTGGCCGTGAGGAACTGGGGGTTCTGGCACCTGTCAGGCTGGGGGAGTGTGGGGAGTGTGTCCTCATCGCCCACACCTTCCATCTGCCTCCCACCTTCCTGGGGAGTCCCCCTCCCTCCAGGGCAGTCATGTGGCAGGAAGGGGCGTGTGTGCGTGTGTGCGTGTGTGTATGTGTGTGTGTGTGTGTGTACACACACGGAATGTGTAAATCATCCTGGTGGGAGGAGTGGCTGCGGGGGGTGGACCTGGGTTGAGAGCAGTTGAACTAGAAGAGGAAGGGCCAGCTTTTCAGAGAAGGTTCCAGAAACGCCCCTCACCTACGGTTTAGTCTGTTCTGGGACTTTCCTCAGGTGTCTGTGGGAGGAGCTTCCCGGTAGAAGAACAAGTGTAACCAGACTCCCAACTTCCTTAGAAAGGGCGGCTCCCTCCTCAATTAAAAATCCAGGATCATAATTCCTTTCTGGGGCACTGGGGATCAGATGAGATGACCTATATGACGTGTGTGTGTCCGATAGATGTTCTCTCTCCCTTTGAAAGACAGGAGAAAGCCATCTTTTGTGGATTTTTGGGTCTCAACCCAAAGGTCTAGTCCCTTTTTTGTTTGAGTTTATGAGTTTTGCTATTCTCTTGGCTCTCCTGATAAAACAGGAAGGAGTGGGCTGTAAATTGCAACTCAAACGATTCGAGGAAAGGAATAATTTCCTGAACTTCTGGAATGATCAGTGAAAGCATTTTGGTTCTCAAAGTCCTTTGCAGACAGGAGGCATCCCACGTTTGTGTGATGTTCTGTGTATGTACTGCATCTAGAAGGCAGGAGCATGGGCCTAGAACTCTAATAGTTCCCACCCCGACAGAGTCTGTCAGTAGGCTCTGAATTTCTTTGTGCCTCGGTTTCCCCACTGTATTGGCAAGATGCTTATTCCTCAGACTGGTGGTGAGGGTTGTACAAGTCTGTGCAGGTTGCGAGCAAGGAGTAGCGAGAACCTGAGTGATCTGGGTCAATGTTCTCACCATTACGGTAACATCCGTATTTACTCTGATGGGGGTTTTCCCCAGGAGTCATGGCAGGGCCACTGAGTGTGGCTTCTATTAGTCCCATGAAAGCCAGGTGCAAAGCTCTTAAGAGCAAGGCAGCCGTTTCCTCTATTCCAGACCCCCCTCCCTTCCAGAGGGCTGCTAATTCTCCGCAGGGCTGGCAGACACTGGCATCAAACGCTTTGCCTCCTGGCTTCTCTTAGGCGCCGCTTCCTAGCCTTCTCTCTTACCTTGTGCATGTGCTCACTCAGGGGTTTTATGCGAGGCTTCTAGGTGATTTATTGCTGTTCTCTCTCTCCTCCCCAGCCCCCAGACACCACTAGAGCCCCAGGGGGCAGCTGCTCTGCTTTTAGCTTGGGCTGAACCTTTGGCCTGGCCCAACAGAGGAAAAAGACTGAGCAGGAATAGGGGTGGGGTGGAGGTCACCCAGATGCTTTCTGCTGTCACTGAGCGGCCATGAGGCTGCTGATGCAACCGGTCCCTTACTGTAGGCCAGGGGGAGTGTCCTGAGTCTGTGCTTCCTATTTGTAAGAGGGATTCTTTGCTGGGACCCTGGAACAGATCCCAGTAGAAGTCTGTCTCAGGAGCGTTGCAGGGCTGAGAGATGCTCCAATGCAGATCTGAGATGTTGGGAACTCCCCAGCTCAGACCTGGACTTTGCTCTCTCTATTCCACCACCGGCAGAGGAAGCTTGTAGGTTCTCCTTGATTTCCAGGTTTCCCTCTTACTAGAATGATTTCCCCTTTTAGATATCAGGGAAAGCAGTGGCATCCTGGCTGTGGGGAGTGTTAGGGCCTGTGTTCTTGCTTGAAGCCCTGAAGTCCTGGAAATTTCATGTGGCCTTGCAGGGGTTTGGGGCTGCTCTTGACCCCGTTAAGAAGTGAAAGGCCCAAAATCAAAGTTATGGGGATAGAAGATCGCCCTCCGGTCCCAGGACCAGCGACCAGCCAGCCAGCCAGCAAGTTTCTAGTGCCTACAGTCTGATGCTATCTCGTATTCTTCACTTTCCCCACATTGTAAATAAGCCCATTGTACAACCTCCAGCCCAGAATTCAAAGCCCTGAGCCCAGAAGCAGCTAGGCCTTGGAGGTGTTTGCTTATAACCTTTTGTCTCACCACACCCTGGGGCTCCTGGGAGGAGCTGAGGTCTGCGCGGCCTGCCAGGATGCTTGCCTCTGTCAGTGCCGGCTTCCTGCCGCCTTCCTGGGTCCCGTCACAGCCTCCTTGCTCAACCATTGGGTGCCCAGGATGGAAACTGCTCTCCCCTGTTTGGAAGACGGTGTGGGGCCTGTCTTCATAGTGCTGTGGTGGGACCCTGAAGCGGCAGCGCCTTCCTCGGGCTTTCTGTAGCCCGGGTTGGAGGGAAGGGCAACGCTCCATGCCCCGCAGGCCCTGGAAGGTGGAAGGACAAGTGGTAGGCGGGATGCTCAGGTGGATCCTCAGACACCTGCCTCGACCGCGAGAAGGTCTGGACTGGGTTGCCCACTTCTCTTTTCCACGGCAGCTCTTCCGTGGGGCTGTTTCTCCCTCAGCACTCTGCTTTTCCTTCCTTTTCTATCTTGACCTCTACCCTGTCCCTCATGTGACTGGGCTGGGAGGTTTCCCTGCTGGT